TCCATTCAACTATCTCAGTTGACCAAGCAATCCTTCCACACCGGAGCTTTCGCAAGAGAGTTATGATGGGTTGTGAAGTCGCCCACGGGTGTCATTTAGCTCCAGTGTCTCAAGGTTCTCACGGTTCGTTCTGAAACGTGGCTCATTGAGGCCGGCTGACTGAATGAGTAAAGTGGCTTTCTGACCCTTGTTTTCTAACTCTCGTCTCCTCCTGCACGAACACGATACGTACTGAGGCTAATACAGAGTCTCTAGGCTTGCTCGTCTTGGTTGGCATGTCATATCAAGACCCTGTTTGACCAGTCTGCATTGTTCACCAATGTCGTTCGATTGCAGATTATTCCATAATACTCAGGGCAAACCTGTCCATTACTTATCTGGATTGAACATTGACAGATTAGCTCCTCCAAGATGCATGACAACTCGGCAAAGACCTCCATTGTTTCTCCGTTCGCAGCTTATCGCTTGGTATGATATGACCCTCACCTTCGTACATATATCTGACAAGAAGTTGAAATCTTGGTCATAATTTCAAAGCTATCCAGCTGCGGGCGAACAGTATTGTCTTAACGTTCCACATATGTGGGATGTGAAATCGTGAGTCTCTGTATGAATATGCACGTCCACAACCTCGAGCGTGGAATGACGCACATACGCTTCGCCACGAACGTAGACGCTAGTTAAGCAGACACTACACCTCTTTAAATGCTAGACTGGCCTCGTGTTTTCGGATATTCATTCGTGTTCCTCCTAGGAACTAGCGTAGCGTAACGCCATGAGATGGCCGTAGTTTCAATCATAGGCATTTTAGTACTTGAGTGAGAATGCCTTCAAGTCAGTCAAGGCGGCTTCGTTGAATGTATAGAGTGGTCTCATGTTATCGAGTCGATCAACAACCGCACCTTTGCCATTACTTGCCCAGTCTTCTGAAGTATCTAGATTGTATCATCCGATTTGAAGAGGATACCAATAGTCATACTCGCGGTGTGTTATTCCCCATATTTGCTCAGACCACTGCACGAGGCTGTGGGCTGGCTGTAGGGTCTATACTCATACACCGTCAATGCAATATCCCTGTATATAGGGGAAGGGGTCTTGTGGCGCGTAAGAAGCATCAGCGAGGTCCGCCCAAGTCACGTTGCGATCGTCTGAGGTATACGTTGGTCTATCCGCCATGACCACATCTTTCCGACGACTACGCAGCAGCGACTAATTATTCAACAGGGCCATGTGGTAACATCCTCTTCGCCCTCATCCTACGTGCAATCATATCCCGAATCAGCGACGCCAGACAGGCCCGTTAACCAGCCACACGCCCTGTCATCTGGCCCTATTCTCGGGGGGCACTCTCGCCCACAAAGGGGGGCAGCATCACGAACCCGACTACGACTCCACTGTCCCATGCACGCCGAACAAAGCACACAATGATATCAAGACACCAAGTAGCGGGCTATGCCAATGGCTATCCCCGTGAGAAAACATTCGAGATATCACCACATCGGTATGTTGGGTTGCGATGTACCATACAATCCCGACCGCACGGTTTTGTGGCTTTATTGACCCAGATCCCTCCTCAGATACCAACCCAGGGGCTCAACACCAGCCAATCGACGCCGACAGCGCCTCCTCCTACGCCTAGGAATCATCGCGATAGCCTTTTTCGTAGCAGGGTTGCTCCTGTGGCCACAGAACGCCCCCTTGGGCTCTTTATTTTCTCTAGCAGTCTTTTCCAGCAGTGGCGATGTGCAATTGGAGACGGTTCGCTACTACGACCTCACAGATGTCCAAGGGACGGCTCGTGGGTGGGAAAGAGAGGAACGCATCCTCCTCTGCGTGCCCCTCCGTGACGCAGAACCGCACCTGCCAATGTTCTTCTCACATCTGAGAAACTTTACGTATCCGCATCATCTTATTGACCTTGCATTCCTCGTTTCCGATTCCAAGGATAGAACTTTGGAGGTTCTGTCCAATTCATTAGAGGAAATCCAAGCCGACCAGGATCCACAGCAACCATATGGCGAGATTTCTATCATCGAGAAAGATTTTGGTCAGAAAGTGAACCAGGACGTGGAAAGTCGGCACGGCTTTGCTGCGCAAGCCGGGGGAGGAGAAAGTTAATGGCACAGGCACGCAACTGGCTTTTGAGTGCTGCACTGCGGCCATACCATTCTTGGGTTTACTGGCGTGATGTTGACGTTGAGACAGCCCCTTTCACAATTTTGGAGGACTTGATGCGCCACAACAAAGATGTCATTGTGCCCAGTAAGTTGTCGATACCCCTTCAATATCGCTGCGCATCAGCTGACCATCTA